CAGTTCGATTCTGTCCGCGTTCTGTTCTGGGACGTTTGCGAAAAAAGGGCGTCGACACGATATCGCATTTATCCACGTGGAAAAAGATTTTCCGTGCGAAATAGATCGAAATTGGCTTTAAATCTCCTAACAAGCGACTTTTTTCTCTAAGAAGTTGCGTTTTTCCCCGAAAATTCGAGATTTTTTGCACAGAATCGGCGAAAATTGGCCTAAAATCGCCCAAAATCGATTTTCTGCTCAAATTTTCCAGGTTATTTTTAGATTTTTCTAGCAAAATCTCTCTTCTTTCCATCGCAATTCCCTCTGAATCATCCATTTCTATCATCCCTGTCTCTCGATTTTTTGCATCAATTAAACAAAGTGCACTTTACGAAAAAAGTACAAGGTGAGAGATGAGAGACGCAGAGGCATTTCTTTTCGAAACATTTTCGAAAATGTGTCGGCAGAGAGCCGAAAGGAACAAAAAAGTGCTAGACAAACACCGGATTTTTTGTCTTTTCCATTTAACAAGTGTTTGTGTATCTGATGACGTGGCAAAACAAGAGATTACTGTAGGTAGGGATTATCATACCAATGGGAAAACTGAATGTCGATTTGCATAATCGATTGATACATGATGACACAGATTCAGTGGGTGCATTAATCTGAAAAATTAGAAATTCAAATTAACTTGCGGGTGTATTGAACTATTGGAACTACCGGTAAAAGTCCAAAATTCGAATCTTGATAAATGAGAAAAGCGATTCTCTCCAATAATCTTTCCCTCACATCGAACCTCTTCTCGGCTTCTATTGATTCTAGGACGTCTTCTAGATTGAATTCCAATGCATCCATTGTCTCGGAGAACTGAGCTTTGATTAGAAGATCGTATCCGTCTACCATTCTGTATACAGGGTGGAAGAAGTCCGGGGGAGTCTGATTCTAAATACCTAGAGCTAGAATACAACATGTTTTTGGCGCTAATCCGGATAAGGTAACGGGGAATTTATTTGTTTCAACACTCGATACGCGGATCACGAAAAAGGGATTGAAGGGTCGAGTTTTCGAACGTCAGCCAGGCCACTCTTCTGAAGATGGATGGATCAGAAGAGCGAGATGGTGGAGAATGTATTCAGACGACTACTCGTTTCAAGGCATTTTCAAGGATTAAAGAGATTTCGAGAAGGGTGGAAGCGGAATAATGAGTATGGATAGGAGAAAAAACGACGATAATAACAAGTAACAGCAACAATCGGGGTTTCCGCCTATTATGTGAGGGAGGTTTTTGGGGATGGGAGAAAAGAAAATGTATATAAAATGTAAAATTGGGAATTTTCAATAAATTGACAATTTAGTAAAAAGAATAGGTTTAAATCCGATTGATTAGCTGTTTAAGCATCCTCGTCATCAGAGAAGTCAGATTGGTCATCTCCGTCCTCTCCTGGGAAATCGAACATGTCGTCGGATTGGAGTTCTCCGGTGAAGAAAAGAACGGCACGTGGAATGACGGTGTCACGGAGAGCCTGTCCCATCTCGTAGTCGAGCTCGAGGAACTCCTCAGCCTGCTCATCATCCTCCTCCTCGTTTCTGTCTTCCTTGGCCTTTGGTGGGTCGAAGAAGTTGAAGAAGCTGTCAGCCTTCACGGTCTTGGTGAGGAACTTTCCGGCGTTAGCTCCCTTCTTCTGCTTCTTCTTGACGGCCTTCTTGGTGACGTTCTTGCCATCGTTCCACTCGATTTGGTCTCCGAGGATCTTGACAATGTGTGGTCCATCGAAAGAAAGCTCGCTTCCCTCCTCTGGTTCGAAGTTGAGAATGTAGGTCTTGGAGAGAACCTTGTTCTTGAAGTAGTCGTTAGGGGCGAAGTGGAACTCGATCTTGAATCCCTGAAATGTGAGAAGATTTGGCGAATTCCTACTTTCAAAAACAACTAACGGCTGGATCCTTGCTGGCAGTTGTGGTGATATCAATCAAGGATTCGAGAATTGGGATATCGTGCTCCTCGATGGTCTCAGCAATGAGGTCATGAGTCTTGAGAACGGTGAGCCAGAATTGCTTGATTCCCTTGTGACTTGGGTCAGCTGGGTGCTTGGCGGCGAGTTCCTGAAAAAATTATAATTGTCATGGCCGCATCATCGCGCAAGAAACAAAATTCAGGAGCGGGAATAAAGGACATATTTTATCTCGCAGCGATAAATAGATGCTTCCTCACGGGAGTAAACTCTCAAACAACGCTGCCAAAGTGACGAGTGCTTATCTAGATTTCCAAACTCACTTGAAGTTGCTCTTCTGGGACTCCCTCAAGAAGTGGAAGAGCCTTGCAATCGTCCTCCTTTGGCTCAACATCTCCATTGACGATGGCCTTTCGCTGATCGAAAAGAGAGCTGAACTTCTGCTCGAACTCAATCTCGAGATCGTGAACGCGCTTGTAAAACTCGGACTCGATCTGAAATTTGGAAAAAAAATTTTTGGGGCCAATAAATTTCCAGATCCCTACCTTGATGCTGTCCAACTGGATCTTCTTAAGAGCACAGATACGGTTCTTCACGTTGACTGGCAAGCTTGTGATCATTTCGAAGTTAGAGCTCATGACAGAGACGTCAAAATCTGGTTCACCAGCCATTTTATTACCTGAAAATTTGAAATTTAGAGCTTGTTTCGTAATAAATGAGGAGCAAATGAGAAAATAGGAATTTCGAAAAAAAATTGCAATATTTTCTGAGTTCAAAAATAGGTTTTCAGTGGGTTTTGCGGGTGAAAATTGTATTTTTACGAAAGTTTTCGTAATTTTCGCAAAATTTTCGAAAAAAATTGTGAAAAAATCTGAAATTTTCGTTGCGAAACGCATCGTTTACTGACTGAAATCATAGGACTCGAGTCGAATTTTTTCACTTTCACGAAGCTCCGCCCACTAAAAAACGCTCTTCCGTGCGAGACCCGCGGTTAAAGGCGCATGCGGCGGGTAGATTTACGGGGGAGTCAACAATTGTTTTTGCTTGTTTTACATGGAAAAAATCGCAATTTTTATCAGGAAGAACACATGTCTTTGGTTTTTTTTGTGTTTGATAATAAAAATGTATGATAAAATCACTTGACTGATTATCGATTTTTGTATTCGTTTGTGATTTTTTGTGTCGAATAAACAATTTTTTCTGCTCTTTTTTCAATTTCAAAAAATATTTCTACCGCGATTAATCCCGAGTATTTTTCTATGTCATTTCCGATTCCCGACGAGTTTTATGAGTTCTCAAATATCCCTCTTCCCAAAGCCATTAGAATATTACACTCAAGACGAGACGAAAGGCGTCCAGATGTTCCCTCTTCTCCTGCCATTCGGCTCTCATTTCTCTTCTCACTTCACTCTTTTATTTTCTAGTACCAGAAAATCCTTTTTCTTCTGAATTTTCTATATTTTGTGCTCATTTTTAGGATTTTTAGGCCAAAAATGTCGTCGGCGTCGGCGCCAAACGAAAATATGCAAATCATGAACGGCGTCGAGGTGCCGCCGTTCAGAAATTTCCACGAATTCCTGTTGGAGACTAATCGATACGAGGTGAGGGTTTGGATTGAAGGGAGGGGTTCTGGAAGTCGTGTAACGCTAAAAATTGAGTCAATTAGCTCTGAAAGTCTAGGATAATCTGAAAAAGTAGATTTTGAGCCAAAAATTCGAATTTCCTGAAGTTCTAACGACACAAGATCAGCCGTAGGGTTCCAAAGAGAAAACTAGCCGGTAATTTCCAAAAAATATGCAGTTTTCTGATTTCAACAAGCGAAAATTCGACAAAACTCGAATTTTCCCATTTTCTGCAGTTTTAGGATGAAAAATTACATATTTTGGCCTATTTTCAGACTATTATCTGAAAACCACGAATTTTTTCCTAAAATTCCAAAAAACAACAATTTTCATGTGAAAGGCTGAAATTTGGACCAATTTGCTCGAAAAAACCGCCCGTCGTTTCAAGGCCAGCCAATTCGAAAAAGTCGTTTTAAAGCGAAAACTACGAATTTTTGATAATTTTATTCACATTTTATACAATTTTTGACCTTATTTGACGCTATTTTCCCTTAAAAAATCACTAATTTTCACCCAAAATCCCAAAAACTCGAACTTGTCCAAAATCGAAAAAAAAAACGCTTTTGAGCTCTAAAATTGGAATTTTCGATAATTTTCTCCAATTTTTGCAATTTTCAGTCTTTTTTGAGCCTATTTTCTCTCAGAAAACTACTAAATTTATCCCAAAACTCCCCTAAAATCCCAAAAATTCCTCATTTTCCAGCGCCCACCATTCAACGACTTCAAACGCTGGAACAACCGTATCATCTCGAATCTCCTGTACTTCCAAACCAACTATTTCGTCACAATCATCGCTCTCTTCCTTTTACACACTGTCTACAGTTCACAGGACATTTTCATCGGCCTGATTGCCGTTGTAGCTGTCATTGCAACTCTGATTTTCGCCGTTTCGGCTGATGGCAATATTAAAAAGGTAGAATATTTTCTACCGGAAAATTGATAGCTATTTGATAGTTAGCTACTAGAGAAGTGGTGATAATTATCACTGATAAGAGCTGTGGTGCAAGTTCAAATTTTGCAAAATTTGAATTGTCAAAAAGGGAACATCATCAAGATCTCGGATCCTAAAAATCTATGAAAATTCTATTTTGATCGCTCAGAACGGAGCTTTACTAGCAAAAAAACCGAAAAAAACGCCCAAATTTTCAAATTTTCGAACTTCCCTCCAAAAGTGTGTCTGCAAATCTGCATAAAAGTGTTCGCAACTACTTGCATCACACTCTACGCGCAAACTGTTTTGAATTTCCCTCCAAAAAAGAAATTGTGCACTTTTGCGTACGGTGTTGACATCTAGGTTTGCACAGAATTTTCCGCGCAATTTTTCGAATTGAAATTTTGAAGTTTTGAAGGGAAATTTGAGCGAATTTCGGTGGATTTTTGCAGGATTTTGGTGGAAAATTGGCATATGAATATACAGAAAATAGTTTTTTAGAACTTCAAATCCTTTAGAATTCGGTTTTTAGTCAGAATTTTCCAATTTCCAGATGCGCACCGACCATCCATTGGTCACTTTGGGTGGAATCATCGCCGTCGCCTACTTCTTCATTTCCGTCTTCGCATCCGTTCTCGTTGTCGTCTTCGCGTAAGTCTTCAGTATTCCGCGAATCCCTTTTTTTGCAAAAATAATGTTTATTTGAAGAAAAAATTCAGGGAAACAAGGAAGTTTACACACTTCTATGCATAAAAAATGAGACAATAAAGAGGTCAATTTCTGAGAAAATAGAGGAAAATTGATAAAATTCAGAAGGATTTGAGTCGAAGTAGGTCAAAGTTCATGCGAAAAAAAAAGATTTGACAGTTTCGAAAGTCGTAACATCAAGCGAAAATTTTATTTTTTAAGCAATTGTCGCTCAGAAACAAGCTTTGCGAGCTAAAACTCCGAGAAAAAGCGAAAAATTGAATTTTTGAACTTCCCTCCACAATGGGGTCTGCATGTTTGCGAAACGGTGTTCACAACTTTTTGCATCACACTTCACGTGCAAACTTTTTCGAGTTTCCCTCCAAAAAGAAAACTGTGCACTTTTGCGTACGGTATTCACAACTAGGTTTGCACATGATTTTACGCGCAAATTTTGCAATTGAAATTTTGAATTTTTAGGCAATTTTCGGTTGATTTTCGATAAATTTTAAGGAAGCTTCGCGAAAAATTCAGATAATCTTGGAATTTCGTGATTTCTAGCAATTCATCCACTCCATTCCAATGAAATGATTCCTATAAATTTCAGATTGTTATTCCCAATCTTCCTGGTCCTCGTCCATGCTTCTCTGCGTCTCCGCGGTTTCGCCAATCGTGCTGCCAACGTCAAAGAGCAGCTGGGAATCCGTACTTCTGTAATGGGACAACTCCTCGATCGAACCGGACTTAATGTTAAGATGTGAACCTAATTTCTGAGCTAATTTTCCCTTTTGTATGTAGTTTTGCACCGATTTTGCCAACGAATCTAACCAAAAATGTCCCTAAGTATATTTATTTTCCCCCTTTTTATGTACCTTTTTTCCGATCCCTCAATCCACCCATTAAATATTTCGTCCAAAAAGAAACTGTGTATTTTTGCGCACGGTGTTTATGGCACAAGTTTTCAAATTGAGTTTTCGAAGTTTTTGGATTTACAAACAGAAAGAAAATTCATTATTTTTCCGACAAATGAGATTTGATACAGAGAAAAAAGAAAAAAAAAGAGATCAGCAGGCGACTAGTCTTCAAGAATTTTTATTGCAAAAAACGTGGAAATTGACGGAAATCCGGTCTCGCATCGACTGAACGGATCTTTTTGTTGAGAACACGATTCCGGAAGGGTTCTGTGAAGCGGACGTTCGATCCGACGAGACTGAGCAGCGGCGAACGTTTGTTGATGATTTCGAACTGGAAAAATTGATTTTTTTTTAAAATTTTAATTTCCCTCCAAAATGGAGTCTACAATGGTGTTCGAAACTATCAGCATCACATTTTACGCGCAAAGTTTAGTTTGAAATTGTATTATCCTTGTCAAAGAAAAAAAGGTTGAGTCGAAGTGTATGCGATGTTTGTAAACAAATATCTGAAAGCGTAAACAACCGGAAACAGTTGAAACGAGTGCGACATTAACCCGGCGGGAAAATGTTAAATTTACCTATTTTTTAGTTTTTCTCATATTTTGCAGCAAATTTCGCCGAATATGGGTTGTTTTTCATTGTTTTTTGCGGTATTTTAAAATAATTCGACGAACTTCGCTGCAAAATATGCGAAAAGCTAAAAAACGAGTAAATTTAATATTTTCCCGCCGGGTTACTGTCGCACTCGTTTTAACTGTTTCCGGTTGTTTACGCTTTCAGATATTTGTTTACAAACATCGCATACACTTCGACTCAGCCTTTTTTTTCTCTGACAAGGACAATAGGTTTCCCTCCAAAAACAGTTCTGAAGGGAAATTTAGGCAATTTTCGGTGGAGTTTCGCGAAATTTCCACGAAAAGTTGGTATAAAAATTTTTGCAAAAAAAATCTGGTTAAAATCGAAATTTCACCTAAAAAGTTAATAAAAACGAGCGTCTAAAATTGAAAAAAAACTAAATTTGAACTACCGCTGAAAGTCAGTGTTTAGTTTTCCGTAAAGGTGTTCACGACCTAATTAACACTACACATTACGCGCAAGTGAAAAAATAAATTTTCAGAGTGAAATTCTGGCCAATTTTAAGCCATTTTTCTAGTAAAAACGGTAAAATTTTCGCATTTGAACCCACTAATTACCTCATCTGGGTCCTGGAACGAATAGAGCAACTGCTTCTCGAGCCCGAATAACGGTTGACTGGCGGCAAATCCAAGAATAAAGGCTAGAAGCCACGCGACGACAGATGTGGAATGCATGTATTCTGTGAAAAATGAATGAATATTTGTGGTTCTTCAGAATTTATAAGGCGAGAAAAAAGGGGCGGGGCTAAGAGGAAGAAGAAGGCGTGGGGCGGCGGTGTGGTGTTGTATCAAGTACAAATCCACGAGGGGGAGGTTTCGCTGTTTGTTAAGAAGGGATTGATCTGAGGGGACGGTTTAGGAAGGCGTCATTTCAAGGGAAAAGAGGGGCTGAAAATCTGAAAATAGAGAAAAATCCAGGATCAAGGTTTTTTTCTGAAACATCAGAAGGTTTTAGAAACGGTCGGGATGATTTTCTAGAAGTTTTACGATTCAAATTTATAAAAATAATAAATTCAAAAATCGGGAAACTTATTCAAAAATTTTTTGAAACAGAAATTTTTAAGAATTTCGAAATTACTGTATTTGTGGCTTAAAATCCCCTAAGTGGCCAAAAAATCCTACCCACTCATGACATAGGGTCTAGACTAAAAACTATCTAGGGACATTTTTAGAATTCTAGAATTCTAGAAAATAAAAATCCCCCAAGTAGTAATATAACGGGACGATCTCTGTTCCTCATCCAACCAATTTATATTAACTCTTCTTCCTCTAGTTTTCCTTATGTCTGGAACTTTCCTATTCTCTAGAATACTAATTTTTAGTAGTATCCTCATATGTATCTCATGGGTAAAAAGCGGAACAAAATGAAAATGGAAAACAATGACGAATGTCTGTTTTCTGCGAATCCAGATGTCCAAGGGCCCTTCTATTACAGGTCAATCTGATCCGGAAGTGATTTTTCGAAAGAGAAATCAGAAATTTGAAAATTATTATTCCCGGAATTCCAAAAGACAATTGGGTGGGAGTAAGGTCTTCTGACTTCTTCTGGGTCACAATATGATTTGATTTGATACGTGACGTATAGAATATGAATGGGTATTCAAGGATCTCTGGATTTGAAAAAAGAGAAAATCGAGCGAAAATCTGGAATTGTTTTACTGTTTCAGAAGACTTTTTTATCCAAATTTTTTTTTTGAAAAACTGATGGTTATTAGCTCTTCTAATTTTTGTGGGAGTAAATGGGAGTAAAGTATTCTAGAAAACGCAAAAAAACCAACTTTGAAAAAATACAATTCTCAGATTTTTAACTTTTCATATTCTAAAGAGCGATTTGCCTCCGGCGCCAGCTGTCTGGTCGGCGCGATTTATTCTAGTTTCGGCGCGATTTATTCTAGTTTTTTTTTAAAACTGTAATTGCTCTAATACAAAGCCCTACCTATGTGTGCACTTTGAGCTCAATTATCTCGGTTCCTGTGAGAGATATTAAAAATCTGTCATCTGATAAAATATTGCTGATATTATGATAAACAATTTATCAGTTGAAAATTTTTTGGTATCTCTCATAGGAACCGAGATAATTGAGCTCAAAGCTAGAGCAAATACAGTACGTTTTTTCTCATTTTTTCGTATTTAGAATATGAAAAAAATCTAATTTTTAAAACAAAAAAGTATAAAAAAAGTATAATTTTTCAAAAATTTTCAATAATTATCATTTGGAAAAGGAAGCCCTAAATAAGTGAAGTAACAATAATCGTTTTGGCTTTTTGAATTTGAAATTTTTTGAAACAGTTTTTTTGGATTATCATTTTTAAAGTCTAGTGATTTTTCAGAGCAATCGACGGACTAATTACTTTAATGTTTAATGTTTTTGAATTCAAAGTTTCCATGAAACATCAATTTTTCTGACATCATCTTGGCCTTCTTTTTTCCTCTTATCACCTCTTATCTCCTTATCATGGTGCTAGGTACCTGACCTATCACCGTTTCGATGAGCAATCTCTTTCTTTAATTCGGATAATATCAAGGACTTTGGAATCGCCTCCTATGCACTATAGAATATGAGAATATCAATCCAGAGTTATGACATAAATGTTGGATTTTGGCTGAAATTTATTTAAGAAGTTTATAAGTTTAGGAGTTTAGAAAATCTGATTAGAACAAATGGGATCACATTTTGAAGGATAGAGGAATGTGATTTGAAAAAAAAAGTTTCTTTATCAGTAATGTTGAAATACGAAATATCACAGTTTCATCAAAATTCCAACTTTCGCGTAATAATAGAAACAAACGAGCATTGAAGCTCAAAATGTTTTTGAAATATCCAGTTTTCTGGAAACAGTAATTTTTCGAAATTTCCAAAAAAAAATTTATTTGGAGATCATTGAAATATCTGATTTACTATAGTATTTTCTAGAGAATGACCCAAGCAAAAATTAGGTTTTTTTCTTGTTGATCATTTTTGAGCGTTATCGGGACTAAAAATAATTATCACTTATCATATTATTATTTTTTCGTATAGCTAGATAAATGGAAAATATAAAAAAGTCTTTCTGGGAAGTTTTTAGAAAGTCAGAAATAGCAGAATTTCATATTTAGAGATTCTGAGATTCTGAGATTCTGAGATTCTGAGATTCTGAGATTCTGAGATTCTAAGATTCTAAGATTCTAAGATTCTAAGATTCTAAGATTCTAAGATTCTAAGAATCTAAGATTCTAAGATTCTAAGATTCTAAGATTCTAAGATTCTGAGATTCTGAGATTCTGAGATTCTGAGATTCTGAGATCCTGAGATTCTGCGATTCTGAGATTCTAAGATTCGAAGATTCTAAGATTTTAAGATTCTAAGATTTTAAGATTCTAAGATTCGAAGATTCTAAGATTTTAAGATTCTAAGATTTTAAGATTCTAAGATTCTAAGATTCTAAGATTCTAAGATTCTAAGATTCTAAGATTCTAAGATTCTAAGATTCTAAGATTCTAAGAATCTAAGATTCTAAGATTCTAAGATTCTAAGATTCTAAGATTCTGAGATTCTGAGATTCTGAGATTCTGAGATTCTGAGATCCTGAGATTCTGCGATTCTGAGATTCTAAGATTCGAAGATTCTAAGATTTTAAGATTCTAAGATTTTAAGATTCTAAGATTCGAAGATTCTAAGATTTTAAGATTCTAAGATTTTAAGATTCTAAGATTCTAAGATTCTAAGATTCTAAGATTCTAAGATTCTAAGATTCTAAGATTCTAAGATTCTAAGATTCTAAGATTCTAAGATTCTAAGATTCTAAGATTCTAAGATTCTAAGATTCTAAGATTCTAAGATTCTAAGATTCTAAGATTCTAAGATTCTAAGATTCTAAGATTCTAAGATTCTAAGATTCTAAGATTCTAAGATTCTAAGATTCTAAGATTCTAAGATTCTAAGATTCTAAAATTCTAAGATTCTAAGATTCTAAGATTCTAAGATTCTGAGATTCTAAGATTCTGAGATTCTGAGATTCTGAGATTCTGAGATTCTAAGATTCTGATATTCAGATACTCAGAGAATTAGAGAATCCGAGATTCTGAGATTCTGAGATTCTGAGATTCTGAGATTCTGAGATTTTGAGATGCTGAGACTTTGAGACTTTGAGATTGTCAGATTCTGAAAATCTCTAGTTTGATCTGCACAAAGAACTGAGGAGCTTCCATTTCTAGATTCTAGAAATAGTGACATTTTTATGCATTATATAATAAAATCCTTCGACATCTAAAATTATATAATAGGGAACAAGAATATTCTAGAAGGCAAGACTTCAGAATTTTTTCTAGAATATTAAATTCGTAATATTTGTAAATACTGCGGAGGAACAATTTTCAGAAACTATACTTTGAGTTTTTATAAAATGAGAAACAGAAAAAAAATTGAAAAAAGTACTGTCAAATAGCAAAAGCCCTATTTTATAGAAAAATCGATTTCAGCTTTTTTTTTAAAGTTATAGAACATTTCAAAATTCTTCAAGCTTTGAAAACTTTTCAAAATGTACTGTTTCAAAAATTTTAAATATTCTGAAAAAAAGTTTTAATCTAATATGCCTCCATATTTGATATCCAAAAATCAGGTTTTTAAAGCTCAAAAGTTCAAAAATAAAGCATTTTTTGCCCTTGAAACAAAAAAGAAAGCCTAAATTTCCAGTTGACTGATTTTGAATTGAAAACGCAAATTAAGGATTCTGAATTTTTTAAATAAAAGTGAGAAAATGTGAAGGTGGCGAGAGAGATGAATCACGAATCAGAGAATTGAAATGAATTGAAAATCGAGAATTTGAATTTCTTGGAAACTATACTAAAAGAGGGAAATTGAGGAGTGACATCATTTTGAAAAAAATAAATAAAAGGAAATTAAACTTCTTGGGGTTCGGAAAAATAGAGAATTCAGGAAATTTAAAAGTTCCCGAATTTCCAAAATCTTGGGAGACTTGAACAGTACTGATCAAAAAAATAAAGTTCCAGTGGCTAAATAGCAGAGATGTCCGAATTCCGTATTCCGGATTCCGGATTCCGTGCTGTTTTTCATTCGTATTCCGGATTCCGGAAAATTTTCATTTGTCCGGATTCCGGATTCCGGATTCCGAGAAATTTTTTTATTTTTTTTTAAACATATTTATTATATAGATTTTAAACATATTTATTAATTTTCAAGAATTCTCTGACTTTTTTGAACTTCCGCTACTAAAAATTAAAAAATATAGCACGATATGTGTTTTTAGAACTTTTCTGCCCATTTGGAGAACTCAAAATTCCGGATTCCGTATTCCGGAAAATTAATTTTATTCCGGATTCCGTGAAATTTTCATTTGTCCTGATTCCGGACATCTCTGCTAAATAGTCAATTTAGTCTGATACCGTGAACACTCTAATAGAACGCCACCCGAATTGTCAAAATATCTCATTTTCTGTGAAAGATATCAAAAAAAAAAAAAAAAAAAGAGAGAGAGAGAGAGAGAGAGAGAGAGACTAAAAAATCGCTGAATTCTTGCAGAAACATGTCTTTCACTCGTTAATTGCTATGTTCTTCGCCAAAATAGGTGATATTGAGATTTTTTTATTTCACTTTGTAATTATTGTAAAAATTGTATTTTCAGGTGGAATAAAAGGTAAGTTGTTAAGTATACAATAATTACAAAGTTTAAATTATG